TTTTGTTCTCTTTTATATAATAGTTATTGAAAATTTATAGATTTGTTCCACCAGCAGCAGCAGTACCTGTTCGTCGACGTCGTATTATCGAATCAATTCTATTACATGTTCAACGAAAGTAAGAATAGAAAGGAAAAAAATAGTAAAATTTTTATCTGATTTTGTTTTCTATAGAAAAAAAACATTTGAAAAAATCATTGATATTATTAAACGAAGAGAAACAATAACAATGTATGATTAAGGAATAGAATTTTTACGTATGTATGATGGTAGATTTAATTATCGAGAAAGGACATGAAGTAAGTTAGCATTATTTGATGATGATGAATTAAATATAGTTTGTAATGTCGTATCGGAAGAAAACTTGGTTTTTAATAATTGATAAGATTACATGTAAGTTAATACTAGAATGTAAATATAAGTTGTATATATTTTGTAGGTGTTGATTGTGAAGTAGATAATATTGAACCACGATCAGTATTGATACTTAATTATAAAGGTCAATATACAAGTGTACATATTTAAATATATATCTGAAATAGTTGTTTCATATGGAGTTTAATGTTTTGTACTTGTGGCTATTATGAATGAATTATGATTTTTAATCAATCAAATATTCTTAGCAGCAAAATATTACTATCCTGGCCATTGTTTATTGATTTCACAGGTGTTCATATCGGTAGTGATGAACATCTTCGATTATTTTAACATTAACAACAGATACTTTACCAAAAATTACAGGAATCAGGCGTTTGAGGACTATATCTAGCTGAGTTTTAGAAATTTTTTCATCTAGATCTAAATGTCGTTCGACACGCTTCCTAAGAGATTTTGTATCATACTCATCGACAGCTATTTAAATGAAAATAGACTGATAATCGCATATACTTATTGTGAAAGTTTGTACTTTAATAATAAAACTATAAATGACATAAGATCCATTTCATATTTGTGAAAATGATACTATAGTAGAATATAATAACACTCAGTTATATTACAAATAAAACAAATATTTAATTAAATCTACTACAAAACTATTCTTTCTTTCTCTAAACTACTTGATAATGAAATGAGGCGAACTATTCACAAACAATAATATATAAAAAAATCTTTGTTAACATAAATACGAATCCATAAGACATTATAACTGAGAAAGATCCAGATTATGATCTTAAGTGAAAGTTGAACAATTTCATACTTTATCGAATAAATCAATATGACCAAGAAAAAGTAGCTCTGTGTATAGCTTTGTCTTGATACTTCAACAGAACTTCTCACTAGATATTCTACACTAATCAATTAATTGAAGACTCACAAGAAGATAATTACCGATCAGAAAGAAATATTATGTATAAATCAAATTATTGTCTGTTCTCTTTCGTTAAAATAAGGGAAGTTGGATGGCAATATTTTGCTTAACTCATCAATATTCATATGCTCATTCTCATTACATCTTATATCTGATATAACTATAGATTGTCCCTTAGATTATCTTTTAGGGTTGTTAATTATAATAAAATAATATATAAGGGTAGAAAAACAAAGATATTTTATTTATTTGGAATCGAATATTAAAGTATGAAACAACTCAGTAAAGGTGTCGAAGAAACAATTCGTGAACATGATAAAACGCCAGTTATTCTAACTAAAGTATTGTTTGAAATTTAACCTACTTGCAAGCAAAGAATAAGACAACTGAAAGTTAATTTGTTCTGAATAATGAATATAATTCTGCACTATTTAAAGCAATTCTACCATTGTATCCACCAGTAACTAATACTAGTCCATTTGATAATACAGATGCTGTGTGCTGACCTCGTGCATTGGTCATGTTACCAGTATTTGCCCAAGTACTTGTTGATGGATCATACAGCTCAGAACTAATAATAGTACCATTGTGAGCTCCACCAGTAACTAACACTAGTCCATTTGATAATATAGATGCTGTGTGATAAGCTCGTGCATTAGTCATGTTACCAGTAGTTGTCCAAGTACCCGTTGATGGATCATACAATTCAACACTATTTAAAGCACTAAATTCAATGCCTGCTCCACCAGTAACTAATACTTTTCCATTTAATAATACAGATGCTGTGTGATGCTCTCGTGCATCAATCATACTGTCAGTAGTTGTCCAAGTGCTTGTTGATGGATCATACAGTTCAGCACTATTCAAAAAACCAATATTGTGATTGAATCCACCTGTAACTAATACTTTTCCATTTGATAATACAGATGCTGTGTGTTCTTGTCGTGCATCACTCATATTACTGGTAATAGACCATTCTAGACAGAAACATTGGATTGTATTCATTCTCAAAATGATGAAATCATGTGCGGAAAGTTTTAGATTTTGTCAAATGAATATCGTTTCTTACTTTTGGTACAAAGTTTTTCGAGCATTTTTCAGAATACAAGAAGTCTCAAAGGAAGTGTTGCTTTTTCCATGGGCTATACCCCCCC